TAATTGATCCGTAGGAAATCAACTTAAACATTCTGTTTAAATGATTACCTTTTTAGTGAACTACACTGATAGTGTTTCTGGTATAGTATTTACTACACACACACACACACACACACACACGTTCTTAACTGTTGCTAGGAATGATACTTGAACACTGATGGATAAATAATGGGCTCTTTATATTAAGTCTGTTCAGCTAACATAAAGTGACTACTATTTCTCCATCAGTGTTCAAGTTTTATTCAAGGACAGTACAACAGTTGTTACATTTGTAGTCATATAGAAGAGAGTCAGAAGAGTTCATCATAAGGAATTTTTACTGCAGCAGTGGAATCTGTCACCCTGTTGAAAACAGAACGCGAATTCATTTTGGCATTCTTTGCCAATCATTTTCTAGCTTCCTGACGTGCATCCATACGTGCATTGTGTACAAATATGAACTGAGGGAAAGGGCAAAATGAATAAGAAGTGCAAAAAGAATAGGTGAACTAAGAACCAGTGGAATAAGGCGAGGGAACAGAGACCGCTTGTTTTAATTTCTTTGTTTTCAGTCACATGCTGCCAAGATGATGATGATGCTGTGAGGCATTAAGCAGATGGCATCAGTGATGCTTTGTTACCGCTCAGCACTAATAACATAAAATCCTCTTAGTTGTGCTGTTTCATCAGTACAAAAGCGAATGAACCTGACAGTGACACCGGGGTCCCATACAGGTGTGTTTTGTGCATCTTATCTCAACAGGTGAGCAGCAGTTAGCCTGCACCAAGTAATTCTGCCCCCAGTGTCACCTGGGTCAAGCAAATTTACTCCCTTGTATATAGTTATAAAGCTCAAAATCACCGCAACTCCCGCAGCCCTGTGGGATCATGGTTTCATGTTGAATGGATAAGTTACATGAAACTATACATGTGAGCCTCAAAAGCTAAATAGGGTTGGGCCTGCTAAGTACCTGGATAGAATACCAGGGCTTGAAGCTAGTCTGTAGGTTAAAAAAAAAAAAATTGGGAAAAGGCAATGGCAACTCCCTCTGTACTATTGTCAGAAAACCTGCACGGACATATGCATGAAATCACCACGAGCCAAGCTGAACTTGAAGTAGATTTTATACATGAAAAGATTGTGCACCTCAAGCTGTATGCTGTGGACACTAGAGGCAGGGCTGGTCAGCGTGCATGATGAAGAGGTATTCACAGGGTCATTTCTCACACTTTGCAAGTCAAGACTTCTTCAAACCAAACAGGATAGTATTGCACTGATAAATACTTATTGATTCAGTGTCTGTTTAATTTCTTATCCTCTTAACCATAGAGTAGTCACAATGTTTGAAAACATTGCTTTCAGTCTCACCAAATTGAATTCTGAATTCTGACTACTTATCAGTTTTGCTCTGCGTATCTGACATTTTGTTTGCAGAGAAACAGTAGTAGTAGCAGCTGTAAGACAAGTTGTAGATTTCCATTTATCTTTTTTTTTGTTTTGTACCTGTTTTTTTTTTTAAGTTGGCCAATTAAAACGCTCTTGTGAATTTATTTTGTCTGAATGAAGTGTTAAAGCAGATATGATG